GTTTACCAGGCGAATTAGTCAGGGCCTTGCCGAAGGCGCAAATCGCGTTCTGATGGAAATTAGAAGAATCCATACTATCATGAAATGTGACCGGAGGGCAAACACACCATGCTGTAGGGCTTGCAGTTCCTGCAGTTTATGCAAACTTACGCACGCACGGGCCCCATCATATTACCCAGATAATAAAAAACGCCGCAATCGCGTTTAAATTTAGAACTGGCAAAGGTAAAGGTGGGGTAGGCTTAATAGATGCGGTATTGAGCTGGCGGTCTTGATTTAGGTGGAGCCGGTTGGAGTGGTAACTTCCAAGTTAGTGGTTGTACTAACTCATAAACGCCGGGATGAGAGAGTACGTATATTTTTGCTTTTGAAGTTATAACGAATACTTCGTATTGTATTTGAGGAATTAATAAGCGTATTTAAAATTCAGTGAGGGAAAGGGGACACTTAAGATTTGACAAACTGTAAGAGAACTATTCAGAAAAGAGTCAGTTATTTACAGGCTTCGAAGGACTTGCATAACTTCAGAGCTTAAACGCTTGTTTTCCTAGGTTGTTATTAACCGCGAGTTGTATGCGTAGTCAGTTGATCTGAGCTGATAGTGCTTGTCTCAGTTTCCTGGCGAATTTCGACACTTAAAATAATATTCTGGAAATGCAAAAAGTAATTCTGTACGTACGGTCCCAGTACCAATATCAGGGATAGAAACTGTGAATTGGCAGCCAAGTTGAAATAGCTCCAATCGAAGCACAGAATAATTCCGTTAAGTTTTGACATCGGGCCCAGGTGGAGGAGGAGGGAGTGCGGCAGATGCTATGAAAGTCTACGATCAATGTAAAATAAATCACGCACAAGTCACTGTGCCTGCTCTCACCCCACTTTGAAGCACACGGTAGGCATCGTCGTTCACAACGGTCGAACTCTCGATATTTTTATGGATAGGTCAATGTTCTTGCTCCCCCCCCCCTAAGCCTCATAATTTGGGAGGGCTTTTGCCATGTGGCAGAGGAAAGCTTTCCATGCCTCCAACATTCTGTCCATTTCCAGCCCGAACCACAGTTGGTACTGCGCTTGGTTCGGATGTGTTTATGTGCCCCTTCCAGACACTGAACCTGTTACACGTAGCTTATGCTTCAGCCTATTCCTTTAGGCCGCTATTGCATTCGTGTAGGCTTTCCGTTATTGGTTTGACAGTTATGCTAGCCTCAACTACCACATTCTCTATCATGGCTTTCAATGAATGAGCGCTCGGATGGCTGACTTACTTGAGGCAAGCTTTTCTCCACTTCGTGTCCTGCATTCGCAGCATGCAGTACTGTCTCCTGCTTCTTCGTTTACTATATTTTCGTCTCATCAGCCTGGAACTCTACATCAGGTATGTCGAATTGTTACACGGCTCTCAGCAGTGCCTTTGAGCAGGCATTACGGCATACGCAATACCACTCCACAGCCGTGTTCTGGTTAACAATTACCGAAGCGACACACCTTGTTACTTTTGATAGAATTAGTTTGTCTCTTGCGAATACAGGTCTGATTTGAAGGGCCTTCTTCCGTTTGAAGTGGGGTTATATTGAACGAAGAATTGACGGCGCCGATACATCAGCTTTCACGCTGACAACTTCCATTCTTGCAGGTATTGCACAGTACCGGGTGAGTCTAGAATTTGTTTTTATTCATCTTTCTGCGTTTAATTTTCGGCCACAGGTCCTCTTCTGCGGCGGTATGCACCGCCTGGCAACCTGCGGTTGAACCA